ATGATGATTATTGAATTGAAAATGAAAATTGTTAGGTTGGTTGGTTGGTTGGTTGGTTTGGATGATGTTTTGATGGTTGAATGAATAATTTCTCTTTCTATTCTTTTTCCTCCTCCACTGAATATCAATTTTGTCATCATGCAAATAATTTTTTTAACCCCTTTCTCTCTCTTTCATCCCCCACACATACCTTGATTATTCCTGATCAAACACAGTTTTGTTGTTGATTATTTTTTTCATGAAAAAAATAAAAATGATTAAGAAAGATGCAAAGGAATATGAAAAGGAATATTCTTCCTTCAATTCTTTGATTATTTGGGTAAATATATATTCAATTTTGAATCCATTCGAATGGAAAAAACTTGAAATTATCATTATTATTATTATTATTAAACACACAAACACACACACAAAGTGTATCAAATGTGTATAGAAAAATATCCAGGAAAAAATGAAGATTTCCTCATTCTTCTTTTCAACAGAAAAAGAAATTTTCTGTGTATATTGGTTTCTCGTTGGATCTTTCTTTCTACTTCTTTCTTTCTTTTTTTCGTCTTATTATTATCATTTGAGATGTGACAATTTTTCTTTCATCATCCAAATACAAATTATGAAGAGAGAGAATATTTTAATTGAAAACAAAACAAAAAAAAACAAAATTTCATGTTTGCATTATGCTTGGCAATTCACATCGTTGTTGTTGTTTGTGTTTGAAGAAATTCTTTCTCTCATTCTCATTCTCTATTTGTTTATCCTATTTATAAACAAAATTATTATTATTATTATTATTCGATTCTGTTATTGTTTTTTTGTTTTTTAGTTGTTGATGATCAAAAAAAAAAAAAAAAAATATTTACACAGAATATTTTTGGTTCCAACAACAACAAAAAACAATCATCATCATCATTATTTATTGGAATGAAACTCTTGAGCTTTTCATTATGATTTTTATTTTTTTGTGTGTGATGGTATTTACCGTTGGTCTTACCGAGTACCCAAAACGCACACCANGTTATTTTTTTTTTTTTTTTTAGTTGTTGATGATCAAAAAAAAAAAAAAATAATATTTACACAGAATATTTTTGGTTCCAACAACAACAAAAAACAATCATCATCATCATTATTTATTGGAATGAAACTCTTGAGCTTTTCATTATGATTTTTTTTTTTGTTGTGTTATGGTATTTACCGTTGGTCTTACCGAGTACCCAAAACGCACACCATACACCCAAATGCATACACACCATACACACATACGGTCGGATGAACAACATTCTTCTTCCACCACCATCATCATCCTGGAGCCATAATAAATATCGATATTATCAACAAAAAACAACAACAACAACAACAACTATAGAATCAGAATCAACAACCAGAAATTTCTGTTATTATTTCGCAATTCCACCAACAAGAAAAAAAGAAATCTTTTGTTTAAACAAACATAATATTTCCTTCTTCTTCTTCATTGATTCATGCAGATTTTGCTAGAAAAAATAATAATAAAATTTTTTTTTATTTGATATTCTCTCTCTGTATAAACAAACAAAACTCGAATGAAAATAAAAATAAAAAAACCAACAACAAAACCAAGCAGAAAAAGAATTATTATTTTTTTCTTGATTCGGATATTTACTTCTTCTTCTCCTTCTTCGTGAAGAAGCTTAATTCTTTCATCATTTGTTGTTTATGAGAATCAAGACTGAAAAAAAAACATTTGAGAGAAATAGAGGCCCGCAAGGATTGTAAAGATTGTGTTTTGTTTGTGTTTGTTTGTTTGTTTGGTTAGTTCGGTTCGGGCAAATAAATATGAATATTTTGGCTTGTTTTTCATTCGTTTTGAATTATGTCGTCGAATGGAAGAAAGAAAAATTTTAATCAATATTTCCTTTTTCCCTTTTCTTTTTCTACAAAAGCCGATACTATTTAAAATCATTATTGAACGCTGTACGTGAATCACACACTCTTTCCTTCAAAGCTAAATTTAAGGGAACCATAATTTTTCTAAGCAAACAAATTAGCACATTTTATCTGATTTTGGATCATTTTTGGAAAAAAAAATTTGAATAATCAAAGGGTTTGTTGTTGTTGTTGCTCAGATTGCACGTTCTGGTCTTTCTGGTTTTGCAAATGAATGTTACAAGAATAATGAAATCAACAACAACAACAACAACAACAAAGAAAACACAAAGCTAATTTGATTTTGAACAACAAAAATTTTTTTGTTTGTTTGTTCAAACTTTTTGTTTTCGTGCAGATTTTGTTTTCACATTGAAATGAAAATGATAACAAAATAAAATGAAAATGAAAATGAAATTTGCATTTGAAATTAATTAAATTTACCTGATAATCATCATTATCATCATCTGATTGTGTGGTTGCTGTTGTCTTTTTCGTTATCATCATCATTATCAGTTTGCCATCATATCATTTACAATGGAAAAAATTTTTTGTTTTTCAATTCTGAATTTAGATTGCGTGCAATCATGATAATTGTTTGCAATTGCCAAGGAAAAGATTTTGTTCTTCGTTCAAATTTCAATAGAAAATTTTTTTTCATAATTATTGTTTGGAAACATTTTCTGAAAATAATTTTTTTTTTCGGGCCAAAAACAACAACAACAAGAACAAAACAAGAAAACAACGAAAACACAATTTCAAATATGATCATTAATTCGATTGAAATTCTTATTGTTTTTCCAGTTTTGTTTTCATTAGAATTTACCAGCAAAGAATTTTGTTTTTCATTAAACTCTTTCTTCATTAATCATCCTTTGGAGTAAAGATGGGGTGATTCGGTAATGATGTTTTTTTTCAAAAAAGCAAAAAAAAACAAAAACAAAACAAAAAATACTTTTGCTGTTCTGCTGTTTTGTTTTTTGTTTCAATTTTCAATTTCTTCCATTGATTCTTGATTCCTTATTGTTGTTGTTGTTGTTTTCAGTTTTTCAACAACAAAACAAAAATCGAAAATCAAAAAGTAAAGTCAAAAAAATCAATTAATAATCAATTATCTTAGTAGGTTTTTTTCTTAAAAAAAAAAATTTTATTTTGGTCGGTAGTGGTGTTCGGTGCACCCAAATATTAATGATTTTTGATAGTTTTTTTATTGTTGTTGTTTATATTTTTCTAATGAAACATTATCTCGACTATTTCTACCGCCTTTACTACCACTACCACCACTATTTATTTTTTCTTTTGAAAAAATAGTCAACTGTTGTCTAGATAATTCTAAATCATTTAAAAATTTTAAATATGATATTTGTTCAATAATATATGGACGTAATTCTCCTGTATATTCATTCTGTATTGTTGATGATGATTGTTGTTGTTGTTGTTGTTGTTGTGATTTTGTTTTCAAATATTGATATGTATTTTGTTCATATTTTAATAATTCAGGATATTGTTCATAATAAATATCTGGTAATTTTTGTCCAATAATTGGTTGTTGTTGTTGTTGTTGTTGTTGTTGTAATGATGATGATTTTGATAAGAATTTATTTTCATTATAACCATCAATTGATGATGATGATGTTTGAAATTTACATTTAAAATGATCTAAATCAATCATTTGTACACTATTTTTACCTAAACATTCAAATTCATATTCAATCAATTGTTGAAAATAATTTAAATTTGGTCGTGCACATTGTCGGGATTGTTGTAATTGATGAAATGATAAACGTAATGTAACACCTAAATGTTTTATTGCATATGCTAATACAATTGTTGCCGAACGACTCATACCGCTTGTACAACAAACAACAACATTTTTATCACTATTTTCACGAATTTTTCCATCAATCAGATCGACTATTGTATGAAATAACGGGTGTATTGATGCTGTTAGATTTTCCGGTATCTACATTTACATATAAAGAAATTCAGTTGATTAGAGAAAATTTGAAAAGTGAAAAGTATTGAAATTTTTACCAAAAATTTATGCATTTCAGCTGAAATTGTTGAACGATCTTTAGTTATGGGTATGATTGATTGCATTTCTTTTGCTAAAATAATAATATAACCAATACGATATTGATTAAGATTTTCAGGTATAATACCGGCAAAACCGGTTAAAAATAAACGTCTTGTATATTGATTAAAATTTGAAAATGGTGCACTTAATAATAATTTTGTTGATGATTGTATTGGTACAAAACCATTACATAATTGTGTACGTTCTTTTAATGTTAATAAACAAATTGGTAATTTTAATATTGTTAATGATTTTGATGATGATCGTTGTTTTGGTTGTTGTTGTTGTTGTTGTTGTTTTTTACCACTTAATTTTCTTAATGATTTCGGTTGTAATTTTATTATTTGTTGTTGTTTTTTCTTTGTAATCGAATTTGTTGTTATTGGTGGCATTGTTGATGAATATATTGTTAATATTGATTGTTTTGAATCGTTTCTTTTTATTTCAATACTATCACTATTTTGTTGTTTATTTTGATTACTACTTGTTTCGTTTATTAATGAACCAATATTACATCCCATCATTCCATGTGTGTTTGTGGATGTATATATGGAAAAAGAAATCAAAACAAACAAAAAATCGAAAAACAAAATCAAAAAATTCCAGTAGATTTTTGAACACTTTATATTCCAATAGGAAAATAACTGGAAAAATTCTGGAATTTTTTTTTCGCCCAGGAAAAAATTCAATTATGTTGAATTTGTTGTTGTTTGTTTATTGCCATGGCCATGATTGATTGTATTTTTTTTTTTGTATTTCATAAACAAACATCGATGGAAAAGTATTGATCATCTAACGGGTAAACAACAACAACAACAACGATAAAATGTGATTAGGAAATTTGCTTTTTTTTTGTGATTCTTTGTCTGTATTTTTTTCACAACTTTTGTTTTTGTTTTTGATTTTTTTTCGGTAATTTATTCATCGATCTTTAATCTAATTTAATCATTATAAATTAGACGTCAATGATGTGTTTTCTCTCTTTCACTTTTTCAATGTGATTTTTGTTTATTTATACTCCCTACGATATAGCATCAGTTGCCGCATCAATTTGAAATTTGAATTTTTTTGTTTTTCTCTCATTCAAATTGCCTGTTATATTTTTGGAATCCTTTTGGATGTTTGTTGAATAAAAACAAAACAAAACAAAATCTCACCATAATCATCAACGAAAAGAGAGAGATTACCTTGTCGATTTTAACAAAATTATCCATTATTTATCGTCTCCTTTTTTCCTTTTCTTCCCGTTCGTTACGTTTTCCTTTGTTTTTTTAAATACTTTCACTATATTCAAATAAGAAAATCCTTTTTTTGCTTTAATCCATAGAAAATTGCCTTTTGATTCAAATCGGAAAAAAATTTGACATTTTTTTACTTTTACTTTTTTTCTATTATCAAAATTACCAAAATGTTTCGTTTATATATTGAATTGTTACCAATGACCTATCTCTTTGTGCCATAGGTATGTTGTTTGGGTTCATTTTGTGACCCGGTGACATTGTAGCACACTACCAATCTACCTATACCAAAAGCCACAAAACGAGCAATAATTTTTCTGTTTGTTACCTTTTCAGAAAGAACGGTAACACAAAAGGCCACCAAAAATGTCGGTCTATTCGGTTTGTTTGTTACTTTTTTTGTTCAATTGATTCAAGTGGTTCATTTTCAATGAAAAAAAAAAATTAAAAATAATTTAAAATGGGCAGCCGCTTGTTTATTGTTTTGTTTTGTCTGATCATTGATGATGATTTTCTACCGGAACCTTATGGTTTATGATGATGATGATGATGGTTGGTCATCCAGGTAAATGGTCATAACAACTATAGTAAATTGGTCCACCACACGCAAAACCATGCAAACAAACAAACAGAGGGTCACTACTATTGTTGATCATTTTATGTTTCTTTGATTGAAGCTTTGGTCTGTGTGTTTGTGTGTGTGTTTGGATGATTTACATTTTGCAAATATCAACGGAAATGTCATTGATTCTCTTTCTCTTTTTGCCATTGAAAATGAAATTTTCGTGTATGTTTGACTTTCGATTTCTAAAAAAAAAGTGATTTTTTTCTGAAAAAAAAATCTGCCGGAAACTTTTCTTTTTTTGGCAAATATGAAAATTAACAAAATATCTAACTGGGTATGTAAGTGTTAATTTGTATCTTTTTTTCATAAGAAAAAAAATACTTTGATACAACACAGGTTTGCGGTGAAATTGTTTTCTTTTTGTTCTGAAAAAATCATTCAATTTTTAATGATGATGATTTTAAATTAGATTAACAATGGGATGCTATTAACTATTATGAATATCGATTATTTTCTTTCTTTTCTGGGAAAATTTTTTCAAATCAAAATTCAAAGAAAAACAACAACAACAACAACAAATTGATTGCCATTGATGAATTTTTTACAGAAGAAAAATAAGGTAATAAATTTCTCTCTCTCTCTCTTCGCTATAAATCGATACAATTCATTAATCGAAAAAAATGGCAAGAAAACAAGCAAACAACAATCAACCACATTCACTGATGATGATGATGATTGGCTTCGAAACACAAATAAAAAACATTTATTCCGATTTTCATTTGCATTTTTTCACTCTTCTTTCCATTACTTTTGCTTATTTTTTTCTTTCCCAATTGCATATTTCCATTCTTAATGATGATGATCATCATCATCAACAGCGTCATAATAATTAAGGCGCCCATTTCTTATTTGAAACAATTTATCTCTATAGCAGTGTGTGTTTACAATGACTAAAAAAAAAATGAAACCCGAGGATTCTTTCAAATTCATTCTGGATGGTATTTATTTGTGTGTTTTGCCCGTGTATTCCAGTTTATCTATTATCATTAAAAATGGCAAATAATGAATGTAAACGAAAAATAGGAAAATAGGAAAATAGTTTAGTTTTTATCTTGTCTAATTTTAACTGTTGTTTTTTTTCTTCTTCTTCTTTCATTTGTCTATATTGAAAATTATCATCAAAATTATTTTCATGAACCATTTATACATTTGTCGATTGTGTATACGGTGTTTGTATTTTATTTCACATCGTTGTTGTCGGTGTTGTTGTTGATTTTTTCACAACCAATTTTCAATTTTTTTTCCTTTTCCTTCATCATCTTCATCGTTTTATATGCAAATAATTTCAATTCGAACAACCATGAAATTAGATTAATTAACATTCGGATAGACGAAATTTTCGTTTCTTAATTGTTTTTTATTTTGATTGTTGTTTGGCAAATTGTTTACAACAACAACAGCAAAAAGGATTTTCTTATATCACAAGTATTTTCTCCAACATTCATCACTTTGTTCCAAAATTTTTTTTGTGGAATTTTCCATTTCGTTTCTTTCTACAATTCATTCAATGTCAGCAGCGAAAAAATTGAAAATTTTATCCAATATTTTTCATCATAGATGGCGTTACCGGTTCAAAATTCAAAAAAAGAAAAAGAATAATACACCGTTATAATGCGCGCGATTTTTGGGATTTTTTTTTTTCCTTTTCTTCATCATTTTCAGGATTTTCATTTTCAAATAAAAATTTTTCCACTGTTGTTGTTTGTTTGTTGTTTTTGAATTGGAATTTTTGAATAAAAAAAAAAAAAAAAAAAAACCCACTGCCATACAATTGCTACATTTGCTACATTAAACACAAGCAAACATTTATCATCAATGATGATGATTGAATAATAATGGTGGTAGTAGTAGTCTACATTTATGTGATGCATTTTTTTTTTTTTTTGGTTGGTAGTAGTAGATCGTAGTGGTAGCAGCAAAAGTTGACGCAGGAAGAATAGCTACTGTATCTGATTCTTTTACAATTGAAAAAAAAATAACGAAAACAACAAAATGATGATGATAATTTGAACAGAAAACCAAAGTCACCATGTGCCGAATCAAATCAGTCTGTGGTTGATTGTCGTCCTGTATTGTTGTTGTTAGTCGTGGTCGTCGTCGTCGCTGTTAGTTAATCATCAACGTTATTACTTTTCACCAATCGATTGATTGATTGATTGATTAACAGCATCGCACAACATTTTTGAATTTTGAAAAAAAAATTACAAAATAGGGAAGTGTATAATCCATATGTAAGAAGTAAAATTACAAATTACAAATTACAATTATCCATCACACACCAAACATATCTTATAAATTATTAATAATTTTGATTATTATTACAAACACACACACACACACACACAGGTGTCATTTAATAATTTTTCTTCTTCATTATCATCATCGTTATAATTATAATTAATTAATTAATTAATTAATTTTGTAATTTTTTCTTTGTAATTTCCTGTGTGTATGTGTGTTTTTGTGTGTGTGACATAAGATCGATCAATTGATTGATTGATTGATTGATTGATCGATTATTGACCATGACCATGAAAAAACATTGAATTTTTTGTTTCGATTCTTCAGATTCTTCTTGGATTCACCTGTCTGTCTGTCTGTCTGTCTGTGTATCTGTCTGTTTTTTTGTTAATTCCATTCAACTAGTGATTTTGTGAATTTCTTCTTCGTTTCTTCTTCGTTTTTCCTACTCTGCTTTGTTTTGTTTATTTCAACGTTTTTTTGATTTGTCAATGATGATCTCAAAATTTTCTAAGCAAAACAAACAAACATCTTTAAAATATAACGCAAACAACGATAAACAACAACAGCAAAAAAGGTATGTTTGTTTCTTGAAATGTTGACTTTTTTTTATTTGACAAGAATTTCCCACATCACACATAACACAACAGACCAAACCAAATTCATTTTCACACACACACATCACTAACATTTATTCATTTGGATTCAGTTCTTCTCTCACCAAAAGTGTGAAGTATTTTAGTATTTTTATTGAATTTTTTTCATGTTTTCATTCAAATGAATGTGACATTTTTCAACAAGAAGAAGAAACCAAAGGAAAAATCAACAAATGTTGTTGTTTTGATCCATAATTATCTGGTCATTAAAATGATGATGATCTTCACCATCAACCAGCAAAGAAAAAAACAATGGTTAAAAAAAACAATGTTTAGGATTCTTTTCTTCTTAAGTTTTTCTCACACTAAATGTGTGAACATTCTCTCTACGGTAATTTTACCTTTTTTTTCTTGTTTTTTGTTTTGTTGTTTTTCAAATCATAAGTCATATAAGATTGGGAAATTATTTTTGACATCAAACAAACAAACAAAAAGACGACAAACAAACGAAAAATAAAAAAACCCAAACAAACAAACGAATAATAATTATGTAAATAATAAAATCAACCATCCAGGTAAAACCTACCTAACCTTAACTTTTTTTTTAATTTGCATATTTTTTTTTGACAAGAATTTTTGTTGTTGTTTTTAAATTTGTTGTTGTTGTTGTTGTTTGGCGCCTAGGTGCTATATTCCCATGTTGATTTCTTTTTCTCTGTTTTGTTTTGTTTTGTTTTGTTTTGATGATGTTTGTCTTTTGATTGAATTTTTCTGATTTGTTTGTTGATTTGTTTGTGTGAAGTGCAAAAAAAATGAAAGAATTTTCTCGCTGATATTTTCTTCAGTTTCTAGGGTTTTGCT